AGCTGTGTGATTGAGCTGTTTGTTTGCTCCCTAAATGTATTATATAGTTATCATTATTAAATATTTACTTTGTTTTATCTCATTTTGAAGAGATATGAAAACACTCCAAGCATAGTCATGTACAATACATCCCCTGTAATCAATGAAATACAAGATTTTAAGTAATAGGCAGTATCAGTGAATTACATGTAATTGAAACTAAATAGAAGCAAATGTGTTTTCTATTAGACTTTCAGATATTTATTCTGTCACCTTATATGCTCCAAAAGAAAGAGAAATTTAATTTTAAAACTTTCTAAACACAAACCCACAAAACCTAAATATATATGAATGAAAAGCATAATCCATTTATCTTTTAAAATATCCAGATGCAACATCAAGGCAGCATACTAAGTTTTGTTCTGCAAAACTAAGAAAAGTCTCTGGCCTGTGGAATGTTTTTTTTTTAATAAAACTTCTTGTTGTTGAGTCAGAACTGACTCATATAAACCAGGGAGCACCTGATAAATGTAAACCTTCTACCTATGGGTTTTCCTGGTACCTCCTTACTGAGCAGATCACCAGAGTGCCCTAAGATGCACTACCCTGTTAGGATTTATGAAGGGATTCAAACATTCTGTCTTTCACCATGAAGTGAGACAACTTATTCATTACATCATGGGGTTTAATCAATCTTAATTTAAAAAAAATGAAGATAAAGAGATCTTTTTAATAAAATATGCTGGTAGGACAACATGTGGCCTCTTCTAGAAGTTCAGGAAAACCTGGCTAGTGAAACTATGGCTGATAGGTTAGGTATATCTAAAAGTATAAAATGACATAGTATAAAGTTTGTAATGTGAAAATATGAGAAATTTAGAGAAGAGATAACAAATAAATTTGATAGTACAGATATGTGGTATTATATGTCAATTTCTTCTTATTCTGTGAAGGAATTCTAACCTGATTTGAGACAGGAAGCAAGAGCTTATGTTAAAATGTTGATGTTATCACCTCTCAGATATATATAAATTCAGTCAAAGACACAAAAGACAGTAAGATTGGCAAGAGTATCCAAAAGTTATCCTGAATCAAAGTTGAGTACAAATTACTATTTTAAAAATTAATTTTTTAAGCATTAAAAAGATAAAGCCCAAATCTTGTTAAATACCATCAAGTCTGCATCTACACATACTTGATACCCTGATGGATTTCCAAGGCTGTAAACTTCAAGAGAGAGGAGTGCCTATTTTTCTGAGCCTTTGAGCTACTGGTGAATTTGAACTCTCCAAGAAGAGCTGCCTTTGTGTTAGCAAAGCAACTCTCTAAACAATTCAATTGACCCATTCTAAGAGAATATTTATTTATTCTTTCTTGATCAAAACCAAACATAAACTCATTATAACAGCAATAAAATGTTTGCATGATATGCGAGAGATGAAAAGGTAAGGAAAAATAGGGTCACATGCATAGTTAAAAGAGTCACTTCTAGATCCATTTTAAAATACAATGTTGTGAGATAGAATAATATCCATATGCACATAAGGAAGTCCAGTGAATACTATTATCATTGCAATAAATGTACCATCAACCAGAGTCAAAGAAAAGGAAACAGATGATTTCTACCAGCCAAGAAGGATCATGAAAACATGGACTTGGTGACACAAATGAAGGTGGAAATATGATAGAATTCTGTACAATCAATGACATATTAATGATAAACACCTCTTATAAAAAAAAAACCAACAAGACCTAAAACGAAAATCCAAAAATAAACCAGTGACTATACTCATAGATTTCACCTATTGGTATGTACAGAAATGAAATTGATTACAACTGTGGGAAGAGTTGTTAGAGAAGCTCAGTGTCAGCTGGGGAAAGTAGGCCAGGTGCTAACTGTAGAACAACCAATCAAATACTAACATGCAAGTTCAAACTAAAGCTAAGGAAGCTTAAATTAAATCCATAGGAACTAAAATTTGACCTAAAGTTTACTTTATTGGATTTCAAAACCATTCCTGAAACAGGTTTGATGTCTTAACAACCAGTGAATGATGACCAGATGAGCTGCAGGAGAATATCAAGAATATCACTCAGAAAGAATGCAAACATTACTTACAAAGACGGAGGAGGAAGAAAAGATCAAGTTGGGTGTCAGAAGACACTCTGAGCACAGAAAAGCCAAAACAAAGGGAAGAAATCAAGATATTAAAGAGCTAAACAGAAGATTTCAAAGGGCAATGCAGGAAGACAAAGTATTAGAATGATATCTGCAAAGAGCTGCCATCGGAAAATTAAAGGAGCAAAACTTGCTCAGAATTTCTTAATCTGAAGAAACTGAAGAACAAATTCAAGCTTTGATTTGCAATACTTACAAGATACAAGGTAGAATAAATGATACAGTAAGCAGTAAAAGAAGATGGAAAGAATATACAGTCATTGTACCAAAGGAATTGGCGGACACAGAAAAATTTCATAAAACAACATATAAGCAAGGCCTATAGTGATAAAGAAAGAGTTCAAGCTGCTCTGAAAGAATTAGCAAAAAAACAAGGCCCCAGGAATTGATGGTACACCAACTGACATATTTCAACAAACAGATGCTACGGATGTGCTCACCAAGTTGTGCCAAGAAATCTGGAGAACAAGCACCTAACCAAAGAAAAGATCTTTATTTGTTCCCATTCCAAAGAAAGGTAACCTGACAGAGTTCAGAATTTATTGAACAATCTCATTAGTATTACATGCAAGCAAGATTCTGCTGAAGATTATAAAAAAAGGACTGGAACAGTACATTAACAAAGAACTATCTGAAGTGCAGACTGAGTTTAGAGGAGGCTGTGGTAATTGAGTTATTATAGTTAATGTTAGATGAATATTGGCTGAAATCAAGGGAGTACCAGAGGAATGTCTATCTGTATTTCATTGACTATGTAAAGGCATTTAACTGTGTGGATTACAACAAACTGGTTGACTCTGAGAAGAATGGGAATCCCACAACACCTGATTGTGCTTATAAAAAATCTATACTTGGACCAGGAGGCAGTTGTCAGAACAGAGCAAAGAAATACAACATGGTTCAAGAAAGTAGTATGTCAGGGATGTGCCCTGTCTCTATACCTTTTCAATGTACATGTAGAACAGATCATTTGGGAAGCTGGACTTTATGAGGAGGAATGTGGCATCAGCAGGAAGACTCATTAACAACCTGTGTTATGCAGATGTCACAATCTTTCTTGCTAGAACTGAGGAGTACCTGAAGTGTTTGCTACAGAAGGTCATGGACTGTACTCTTCAATATGGATTAAAACTCAACATCAAGATAAAGATTCTTGTCTCTGGGCCAACTGGCTGAACCCTGATAGATGGTGAAGAGATTAAGATTGTTAACAGCTTTAGTTGTCTTGGCTCCACAATCAACACTCTTGGCATGAGCAGTCAGAAAATAAAAAGACAAACTGAATTGGTGAAGTCCACTGACAGGGATATCGCTATAGTGCTAAAGAGCAATGATATCAATCTAGAGATTAAGGTGCACCTGATTCCGGCCACAATCTTTGCAATTACTTGCTATGCATCAAAAAGCTGAACAATGACTAAGGATGATAGAAGAAGAATCAATGCCTTTGAATGTGGTGCTGGAAAAGAGCACTGAACATACATGGACCACCAGGAGAACAAACAGATCTGCCTTGGGAAGGGTGAAAAGAAGTTTCTCCTTGAAGACAAGGATTTTGAAGCTCTGTCTTACATATTTTTGGTATATGGCAAGGAGGAACCAGCCCCCAGAGAAGCACATCATACTTGGAAGGGTGGAGGGACAGCACAGGAAATCATGACCCTAGATGAGATGGATTGATATGGTAACTAGGGGAATCGGTTAGGTATGCTGGAATCAGTGAAACTCAGGCAGGATAGAGCAGAGTTCAGAGCTACTGTCCATAGGGTTACCATGAGTTGCAGACAGCTTGATGGTATATAACAACAACAGCAACAAAATAGTTCTGTTGGATAACACAAATTTCTGTAAATTTCTTCCTTCAGACGTACTATAATCTTAAGATTTTAAGCAGTTTTCTCAGTAGCCCACAGCCAAAAATACTTACATGACCATTTTATTTTCCAGAAAAAATATAGTAAATCATCAGAATGACCTGGATAAACAGTAATACATAACACAGCTACCCTTCCCAATGAGTTTTTAAAGAATCTTCAAGATTAAAACTCCACAAATAGTTGCTATTTCTTCCTTGATTTGAATTCTAACACACAGAAAATTGCACTTTATGCAATGGAAAATAACATGGTGTGTGTGTGTGTGTATATATATATATATATATGAAATAAATTATTTTATACATCAAACTTGACATATTCTTTAGCTTATTATTCTTTTGAAGGTCAGATGAGTTGTTTAATATCACTGAATCATTTTAAAAAGTGTAAGAATCTCTTAGATTTGCAGGTAAGTGTCTTAAATTGGTTTGGGTAAGAGGATCAAAGTGAAATGAAGGAAAGTGGGAGAAGTATACAATGGTCATGATTGAGTGGCTTGATTGAAGACAGAAAAGAGATCTAGATAGAGAATTAAAGAAAATGAACACAGACATATGGAAACACCTTGCAGAGGATACAGAAAAAAATAGAAATATTTTAAGATTTTATAGCAACCTACACAGAGAATCAAAGAGAAAGAAACTGCAGACTTCTATGTTCTGGGGAAAAAATGTCAACAATTGACTTTTAGGGAGAAAGTAAAAATGTCAGACAATGCATCAAAGTAGCAGAAAGTCAGTTCACATGTGTTCATAAGCTTGACTATTAGTGTTATGGATAACTATTGATTATGCTTAACATCATTTCAGTACCTTTGCTTTATCTCTCATTGATCCTTTGCCCAGGATAGACATTTTAGCACCTGTTTCTTCCTGTAGCCTCTTCAAGGAGTTTCCTCTTGGTCCAAGCAATTTCCCAACAAAATTGAACTAGAAAACAAAATCAATAGAATGTCTGTTTGAAAGTGGAATAAAGACATGATTTGTGCTAAATATAATGGATGCATCTTTTAAAATTTTACCATTGAGAAGTTTTTTAGATCATAAATATCTTTCAATTTCTTATTTAGGCTATAAATTTGCTAAAGGATATTCCTAAGTCCTATGTGAAATACTAATAACATGAAAGGACAAATTAAAAAATTACAAACTTGATTCCCCATGAGACATTAAACTATTTGTACTAAGTTCTTATCATTACTAATAATAAATTATAATTATGATAAACAGCTTTTTAACATTTTAAAGTTGGTTTTTACTGATTGATTTTCATATTCAACAATGATGAGAAAAATTTTACTATGGCATTTATTGTAAAGTAAAGATATTCTAAATTAATAATGTTAAAGATATCCCTTAAAAAGCATGTAAAATAAATAGATAAACATACCACAACAGAGAGAAATAGCAGAATTGCTCTTGTTTATAAAATTGTTAAAGGCATTTTTCTCCCACAACTAGAT